TATTTCGTTTTAGGTAATAAAGAACTGATAATTGCATTCTCCCATAATGATATGTGTAGGTTTAACGTTTCCATAAGCTTTCACATAACCTTTTTCTTCCAAAAGATGTTCCCATTCAGGATGAACTGCAGTTTAGACCTCGCCTAGGTCTTAGCAGCACCTCCAAACTACTCAAAACGTGGTTTTATTATTCAATAACAGGAAGAGACATTTCAAAGGAAAGGATCATGAGGGATAAAGAAAAGTAGCGAAACGGCGATTGCAATGAGGGAAGTTAAATCTGGAATCAGCCTGTAAAGTTACCGGTTAAGGTCCACCTGTGGTATGTGGGATAGGAAATTAAAGGTCAGAGATAGGCAGATTACGCTCCATTAAAGGTGCTCAGATAAAGGCACAGATGCGCCAGATATGGATCCCCAGTTTGCGTATGTATGTTTGTGAGAATTTTTGGATATGTACCTTAGTGATATGTTACTGATGGCATGTATGACTAAATAGTGAGCGATACCAACCAAACATAAAGGAATGACTAGTCTCCTAGGTATAGATTGGACTATCAACTTGAGAGACAAGAGGAGTATTCTCTATAGGGTTCTAGATAGGAAAAGGTTAAGTGATGCATTTTCAGATCGCAGTTCCAAATTAAGCCGGGCACAGGATCCCAAAGAATGAGATATAATAGGAGTGGGAATAAGAAAGAGAGTAACTGGAAGATGAACTTGAAGTATATAGGAGAGAAAATGCCTGAGCATGGGCAGAATTGGCTCCAAATCCTCGAATATGACGTAAACGTGGTCGATAATTGGAGGCTCATAGGTAGCCAGACAGTAGTTCTTCTGTGTAGCAGAGACCAATCGAAAATCTACGTGGAAAGGTGGGATAAATAAAAGTAAAAAGTAATGATCTAGAAGCCCTGAGAACAGCATCTAAAACCGTTGGTGAAGGTGATTACGCTTCACTTAAGCCACTTGTGGCAACACACTCTAAGATTACATTGGAGGAAATGAAAGCAACAACGGGAATCAGCCGTAGGTTTCAAAACCATCGTTAGATCCTGAATAAGAACTCGAGCCAGGCTTGTGTAGGATGATATAAGGACTGATAATTAAATTACCCATAATGAAAGGAATATAACTCAAGATGCTATTGTATTTCACAAGGCTTTGCCTTTCATAAGGGCTTCCCAAACAAGATGGCCTGGATATAGATATTCATCAACACGCACAAAAGGCTTGGAAACTGTCTTGTGCTTTGAAGCTTTGAGGTTTCTATCTACTACAATCCGGTCATGAGCTCTAGAAGTGGTCAAAATTACAGTCCATATTGGAGAAAGCTCTTTGAAAGATATGGCTAGACGTAGGCAAATGACATCGTTACGTCTAGTGATTTCATTGCTGGAAATTCAACTATCAGTACTAAAATCAAATTAAGCCATCTAGATTTCCTCATAAAATTATACAAGATATACTATCGAAGTCTATTCATATGATGTATAGAATAATTTGAAGATACGAAAAGTGACTTGTTTCAATGAATCTCCTGGGATAACATTGTTGGAGGGGACTTTTATTTCTTATCAAAGTGCATAAGGATGAGATTCGTAAGTCGATCTCACCAGAAGATGACGTTTGAATCACGTTGTACTGCAACAGTTTGGCTTTGTTACCCCGCTTAAGTTGACGCAGTCCACGCGGCCTCCTCCCTCGTTTCCTCAAGTGGTTAAACGTTAATGACCCTAGACTAAGATGTCAGAAAAAGTGGTTTCGTAAATTTACTTACATTCTTACGAGCTTACATCTCATTATCTCAAGCATATTGGCCTACGGACTTACGTAGTCCTAGTCAGGATTTTCTCTTGGGTTATTAATCCTTGATGACCAGAGCTTGACATTAGTCTTTTAAAAACTAATTTAGGATCGGTATTGCGTATTGACATCAACACACACACACATACAGACACTCGAGAAAAAGTAGCAGTAAGATAATTAGCCAAGCCATTCTATATCTATCTAGATTTTTAAGTTTTTTTTACTTAATTGAGTCTATATAGAAGGTAAGAGCTGGATAGTCTTCTTGCCCTAGTGTTAACGTGAGACTTGTACAAGAATGAGTTCCAACTCTGATAACTTCCATCATATAATGAGCTCATGGGGAGACCAAATGAGTGCTTATATAGGAGACCATTGATTATGAATTAACTCGTTCTCATCGCCAAATTTATCAATCGCGTTAAGGATTTCTTACGGATTTCTTCGATCGCTAAGATATAGTTCTTCACCAGTGCCGAGAGTGCCTTCTCTTCTGATATATTCTTATATGGAGATTGTATGTCAAAGCTCATTATTATCTCTGGTACCTCAAATCGGATATCTATGAGACTTGAAAAATCCATCTAAATTCTTTGATACATTCTATAATCCTTGCATTAGCACCATACCTCTGAATCCACAAGCCTTGACAGGCACTTATGAGTTTTGCTAGGCGAGTTTAGCCACAGGGCTTTGTAGGAGAGGCAACTACATAACCAGAGTATTATGTATTGGTTTTATTAAATATTTTCTTGCGACCTCCCTAAAGGATAGCATAATTTTATAAGGCATGAATGAGGTTTTATTTCACCATTCTCCCTCAAATTGACTGTCTCTTTGAAGAGATGTGAAATTTGATCAGAATACTCAAGCTTTCTACCCAGTTTTAGTCGCTATTAATATTTTTATTCTTTATTAAACTATGACCTGAAATGAATCCAGCTGATGTGGCCAGACTGTCTCGTTCCGTCTAATGTAACTATAAGAACAACATTTTTGACGATAAATCTGTAATTTGACCTGGATATTTAGTACAGGAGAAAAAACCTCTTGCGTCATACTCAACTGATGAACCTTAGGCAAAACGACTGCAATAAGCGTTTCATTTCTACCTTTTTATGAAAATGTATGATGAAGAGATTGGCAGATATACTTAAACTAAGTAACCTGCAATGAAATCATATTGAGTTCAATGCAGCTGATAATTATAGACTATAATGTATCCACTGTTTCCTTCAAAATGCCCATAACATTAACCTAACTCTTCAGATGAAACAAAAAATGTCAATTTTTGATGAAGACATGGAATGATGCACAACCAAAGTTAGGCGTAAGTAGAAAGGCCGAGCAATACATCTTAAATAAATCGGTAGATACAGCTGTTTGGTCACGATTTCACCCATTTCACGCTTTATCTGCAGCCACTTAACTTAATTTTGAGCAAACATTCAGGCAAGACATAGGATATCAAACCCAAACATTAGGTGCATCAGTGAAGCTAAGAAGGTTTTATTTATATTTTGCTAAAGGTGTATCAAGTGAGGCTATAGAATAGTAATTAATGTGTTTATAGGAAATGCGTCTGATAAGAGATATCTATAGAAATTATCAAAAGCAGTTAAAGTTCGAGCTGCAAACCCGGGAGAGGTATTGGGAAATTGTTTTATGGCTACTGTTAAGATAAGCTTTTAAAAATAGAAGCAGAAATTGTACGAGAGAAGACGTACAAAATTGAAGTACGGATCATTTGAGTTTTAATCACAAACCAATAGATACAGTAGTGAGTGTAAATAAAATTAGAGTCTACCGCGGGACAGACCAGTGGCATGAAGGTTTGATATTTAAGCGATACCTTGGAGACAATTCATATTCTTTTCCAACGCCAAGGCATCTAAAACAACTCCCAGACCGATGAGACAGAGAGATACGAGGAGATAAACTATCAATATTGCCAAGTTCTACTCTATATAAGCCAGCTTGGACCTGAAGAGATCCAGAAGAAACTTGAGCACGAGTAATGCCGGCACTACCCTGCAAGAAACTCGAATATATTGGGTGTGAAGCATGTTCCAAGTTGATTTTAGCTAAATTTGTAAGACGAAACCTAGGAACACGAAAAGGACCAAATATCCAGTCATGCGAAGTCAACCAAAACAGTAGACAAATTGACACCGGATTAGCAATACGGATATAAAGTCCGTTTAAATTTGATTGATGTTGGTATAGAAAATTTTTCAGGTGGTCATCTTAAGCGTGGTGTATGACTGTTATTCTTGAAATAGATCTGAAGTAATACATATCTAGGGGACAAGTCATCACCAATCAAATTGTTAAAATTAGGTCAAAAATGATGGCATTTTAAGACATATGGTGAATAATCAGGAAAAGAAGAACGCAACAGTAGACATGGATTAGGAAGTAACTCAGAAGCTCGCATTTAGTTATTATCTCATTTTAAATATTTAAGGGTTAAATCTTCCATTAAGCACAAAAATTTATTCCAACCAGCTCTTAAAATGGATTTAAGGTTGGAATTTGGCGTTTAACTCATAAAAATAAATTATGCTAACCTCCCGAAGCAAATTTAAGTATCTTTCCAACCTCCATCAAATGATAGCGGTTGCCTCAAATAATAAATTCAGAAAATATATAACAGAAGAATAAAACAATAAATTTCTTCGTCATCTTAAAGAGTTAAGCTAATTCTTTTGAGGCTACATTCACTCATTTACGAGTTGTATAAATATATATTATTCTATTTAAGCTGCAAATAATGAGAGCCCAAAGTTCAGAAACTACGTTGACTTTTGCGAAATATGACCACATATCGGAGAAGGGTGGAAATAAAAAGAATAAATTCGGACGTTTAGGTATGTCATTCTTCTAATACACAGGGATGCTACTTCATATGTAACAATATATTTATGTATCGAACAAGATTTATTCGCACATGCCATAATTTGTAATTTAGACTCTCCAGTGTCATTGCACTTAAGTTATCCTCGTTGGTTAGTTCACCTATGTCAGTGGCTCAAGCATCCGAAGTTAGCCCGTTATAGTTGTTAAAAAATAAAAATAAAATAATTCTGATTTTAAATTTTATACAAAGCATGATAAAATAAATTATTTTTAAATTACTTGCGGGCATTTAACTTGGCTGTATATCGTTCGTGCGGGCATGCATCGCGGTACTCTATCTATCTTTTAATTAAATCAGGCCCTTATCTGTCAATAGTGCCATGGGGGTTCCATCCTCATATTGCTATCCTCAGAGATTTTGCGGGATACCCATCATTAGATTTGGATTGCGAACTTGAGCAAGGTGATGATGAGTCGTACTTAAGGAGCTTGAACCCGAAAAATTGGAAGCAACAAGACCATTATGCTGTATTAGGACTTAAAAATCTACGATATTCTGCAACTGCTGATCAAATAAGAAAAGCTTGTAAGCTTAGTTGATTTTAAACAGGCCCAAGATCGCCGGAAGATTTTAGATCACCATCCAGATAAGCGACGATTTCAAGGCGAGCGAGTCAAGGAGGAATCCCATGATTATTTTTCGTGTATTACCAAAGGTAATTACACATTCGTTACTCATTTTAATACCTGTGCACTAATTGATTTAACCATCTGATCCTCCTGCATTTCTTTTTGTGCTTTCGAAGACGATAGCTGCA